GTGAATCCGCGAACCGTGCGAATGAAATAGCGACACAACGAAGCAATATGAATGAAATCCATGAAACTTCGCAAAATGAATGGCTGACTTGGCATGGAATATCCCATATATATCACATTACTTAGCCTCTATGGCACCAGCCAATCACTATCAGAATTAGCGGCCTGAATAACATCGTACTTGTCGAAATTATTATCTCCAAAACTATTGATCCTAAAAATATGAACCATACGCTAAATTCAAGGAAATATTATCTATGAAGACGTCAGAAAGTTTTGTTATACTAACAGTTTTCTAAATATATACAAGTTATGGATCATAATTTTCAATAAAAATATCTTGGCAGAAAACTCTTTTTTCAAACAATTATATCTTGCACAAAAATTGACGGAGAGAGAAGAAATAAGCATTTTATAAAAAATTTTATAAGCTTTAATTTGGTACATTTTACTTTTTACATATGTCCTTGAAAAATTGACAAGATATTTATAAGAAAGTTACGGAAACACATTTTTTTAGAAAACGTTGAAAAAAGGCAATTTTTTTTAAGCTGTTTTTCTAAAAATAAATTTTGGATAGTGATACGTAACTAGGATTGTATATAAATACATGTAAACTTTGAGAATAATGCGGATATTATTTTTTCCAATCCGATTATATACCTGCATTGATAAATAAACTCATATTTTTTTCATTTTTTAACATAAATTGAGAATTCCATAATAACTTTGAAACACCATATTTAGTGAACTATTGATTGTACGTTGTAAAAAAAAGTATTTTCAAGCTAATTTTATAAGTTTTAAGACTGTTTATTTTTCACGTACAATAAGTTAAACAAATTCATTAAAATGTATCACAATTTGAAAAAATTTATTTATATCTCAGTAACTATTTATCATACAAAGTTCAATAAAAAATTGTAGATTTTGTAGAATTTAAGTAACTGAGGGGCAAGCCCCCCAGTGTACGCAAAAATATCACAGAGTGTTTCATCTCACAAGCATGCAAGCTAGGGAGATACGTTATCATAAATAATGAGTTCCTCTGGGATATCACAGAAGTGTCGTCAAAAATATAAAAGTCCCGGGCGAGCGCGTGCGGTAATATATAAATAGATAAAATTAATGTTATAAATTGCGCACACTCACACTCGTATGAAATACAAAATGGTTTTACGCGACATTCACACTTGGCAGTCAGGACTCCACAAGCAGAGAAAAAAATAAATAAAAAGCTAAAAGAGCATAAAAAGAGAAGAGTACATAGGAAAGAAAAGAGATAGAAAAGAAAATAAAAGACAAAAAAGAAGTAGAGGTAAAATAGCAAACTAAAAATAATAGGTTACATCGGTAAAACCGAATAAATAAATATGGAGGGTAGTATTCCTTCTTCGGTTATTATATGTCCGAGATATATTATTTCCTTTCGTAGAAACTCGCACTTGTCGGATTATAGCTTCAAATTGTATCTACGTAATCGTTGCATTACCTCGACAAGATGCTTATTATATTCCTCTAGGCTTGATCCGTAAATATCTAAAAACTATATCATCTAGGTACACGTGGCATCTCCATCAAATCTTGTATTTCCGCTAATATTGTGTTCATTAGTTTTTGAATCGTCGTGAGTGTATTTCTTAACTCAAACGGTATTCGGTTAAATTCATAATGTTCGTGCGAGATAGAAAAGGCAGTTTTATTTTTCTGTTTCTCACTAATAGGAATTTGGTGATCTTCCGATGCTAAATCCAGTGTAGAAAAACATTTGGCGTTTCCTACTAACTGGTCTAAAATGTCAGTTATGTTTGACAGAGGAAATGAGTCGCCTATGGTTAATTCGTTAAGTTTCCTGAATCTATCACTACTCTAAGTTTTTGTTTTCCTGAAGCGTCGCTCTTTTTTGGAACGACCATAGTGGCGTGTTCCATTGACTCGCACTAGGAATAATATCATCTTATAGCATTTTCCTTATCTGTTGGTTTACCTCTTCCTTATATTTTTCTGGCAACCGCACATTTATGGTCGCACATTTACGGGTGCACTATCGGTACGTGTATTAATTTCATGCGCTACCACTGTTGTATGCATTAATATATCTTCTTCTAAGTGGAAAATGTCATTGAAGTCCTCGCATATTTGCTCGATGGTTTTTTTTTCTTCTTTATTTAGATGCTCGGTTTTTATTTGCGTTCGTATGTTCGTACGTTCGTACGCTCATGCCGCGGTAGTGTTAGTACCACTTTCGTTATCTGTCTTTTGTAGTGTGTATACGTTTTCTCGGTCACTCGCCCGTAACTCTTCTATAGTTACAAATGGCGTAATTATTTCGACGTTTTCTCCCGTAGTATTTAACATGCTTATTGGGTACATATATTTGTCGGGTGCTATTAGACAATATCCGATAAATATTTCTGGTCCAGTTTCCTCTGATTTAACTATTCCCACACAATTTTTATCTGCGACCGTCCGCACTATCATTTTGCTGCGGAGGATCAGCGTTATTTTCCTGTACGGGTAAAGTTTCAAAGTTATCTCGTCAATTTGCAAATAGTTTTTCTGATCGCTTTTAATTTTGTGCTTTTCTAGAAAATCTACTTCGAGAATTCCTTCGTAGTCGACAGGAAAATCATCTACCACGACATGCATGGTATGTCGTATTTCTTTGTCGCCTAAACCGTTGCTCTTATTTTTCCAATTGTTTTTACTTGATGGCCTGTCACGCCGATGAGGACCATTGGCTTTTCTCGTATAAGTGTCTCGCTCTTCAAGTTTCCTACTTTAATTAAAGTAAGTGTAGCGCCAGTATCTAATAATAGATTTATCCTTTCTTCTTCTCCTTGATTGGTAATATTAAAAGTCTAAGACCGGTATTCGCATCTCCCGGTCACTTGCGTAATTTGATGCTCACTAGTTACTCGTGTTTTTCTCGCGTCCTCCTTTTCTCTTTTTCTTCTTCGCAGCTAGCGTACGACAATTCTTCGCTTTCGCTTTCGCTTTGTCGCTTATTTCGTCTTATTTTAACAGCAGTGTTTACACGCTTTGTCTTACGGTCAGTGTCTCGCTTTGCGTGTTGCTTCGGCTCCTTGTGGGGCCATCCGTTCAATGACCAGCATTCGTTTCTTTTATCCTGTCTTTTTGCAATATGTCAAAATTTATCGACAGCATTTATACGTGCTGGTTTATCGGCTCAAAAGCAATGAAAAGCGTAACGGTTTGATTGACAGTCTCGCCCATAATGGCCTACTTTTCCGCATTTGCTGCGCTGTACCCCAGAATTTTTTAAGTTTGGATTTTGCCCATATTTATTGCAATCATTATTATTCGCTCGTGAGGCAGACCCTTTTACACGTTTTTCCGCGCTTGCTGCATCGATAACTTCTTGCAAGTTTGAATATTTTTGTGATCGTTCTACTAGTTTAATATCTTCGCTCAGTCTTAGTTCAAAATTTAATAAAGCTTGAATCGTTTCTAAAATTGCTCGCTTCTGCTCGCTTGTATTTTCTAGTTTCTCGATCAACGATTCTAACTCTATAGCTAAAGTATCCATGCACCGTCTATATATGTGAACGTTTTCGTCTGGCTTTTATTTTAAAGCGTTAAACTCTAATTGTAGGTGTGATGTTCGTATTTTTCCAAATAATTGGCTTCTATCTTTCACCGTAATCGCTCGAAGTTTATCACGCTTCTAGTTTGGAAGTCTAATAAGAGTTTTCCTTTCAATTTTGTGTTCAATATCTCTTCTAGCAAGGCTGATTTTTCCGCAAAATTAATATTCTCCATTGCATAGGTACTAGCGCTTATGAATTCCTGCATCTTCTGACGTGAATATTCGTTTATTTCCGGTTTCAAACTCCGTGCATCTTTTAATCTTAAATATCCCACGGGTCGATTTGTTGCTTCCCGCACGTCATTTTGCGTTCGTCCGTATGGAAGTCGGGGTACGCAAGTCGGAAGTTTTCGCGATAGGTTGCGATTTTCATCCTGCTCATTCTATCTTGCAATCCCGTAATTGCTTCCATCATTCTATCTAATATTTCCTCTTGTCTTTGAATTGGTGCTTCGCTCGCTCGTTCTATGGTATTTCTAAGACGACCTATCTCTGCTTCTATTTTCATGTTCGCTACCGGCTGATTGCTCGCGATGTCACCATTTTTGCGCAAGGTTGATGCGTCGTCATATTTCCTGATACCGAATTATTGTTTTCAAATAAATTTTAAATGAACTCTCATATGAAATTAATGAGGGTTCTCGTTGTTCACTTTTATTATCAGCTAGTGAATTATGATCTAAATCTACGAATGGAAATACACGCTCGATAACAATATTCGGATGAGATTCCGAATCGGATGCACTATTGTTTGAGTATCGTGGTTCCAGTACATGGCGCACGTTGTCGTGTATGTCTCGCACGGCTTCTTCGACAATATGCACAGGGTTTAATTGGCTAATTCTAGGACGCTCTAGTACAGGCTCGCTGTAGATTTGCAAAGGTATCGGAGTGTTACGCCTATCACGGATGTTTTTGCTTCCGGACATTTATTTGATTGCAATGGTTACATAAAGATTTTTGGACTTACACTAAAGCAGTTAATCGCATGTTATTTGTCTGCTGTTCGTTGCCTGACGTATGCTAAGTCACCGTGTGGTAGATCGCGCCTCTCGGGTTACGCTATTATCTGCGTTCTGGTCGTCTGCTATACTAAGTGCTCGATTTGAACAAGAATCTGACTTCTACTTTCTGCCTTGGGCTGCTTCTTTGCCTATTTTAACTGATCCTCTTATTTATAAGCTGTTGCTGCTATTGCCGGGTCCTGGGTCAAGTGTGTGTATCTCACCGCTGCCAACAAATACGAGGTGTGATCAAAAAGTAAGGTGACTTTTTGAATTTCGCGCGCTCTGTACACTCTAATTTAAAAAATTTTTTTTTGTTGTGTTGGTACACTCGTCACGATCATATTCACAGTTTTGACTATATAGCATGTGTTGCTTTTATGTGAGAGGCATAAAGGTTAGACTCGTGTTTGCGTGCTCGGCGATTTTTTGCTTTTGAAAATAATGGAGCAGAGAGTTTGTATTAATTTTTGTGTAAAAAATGGTATTAAGTGTTCAAAAACTCTTGAAATGTTGACAGTGGCGTACGGTGAGTCAACTTTGAGCAAAAAAAATGTTTATAAATGGTATAAGTTATTCCAAGAGGGCCGAGAAAATGTTAACGATGAACCTCGCTCTGGACGCCCCAGCACGTCAAAAACCGACGAAAATGTTCAGGAAGTGAAAGAAATTGTGTTGAAAAATCGTCGAATCACGATTAGAGAAATAGCTGATGATCTTAACATATCGTTTGGCTCATGCCAATCAATTTTAACGGATGTTTTGGGTATGACACGTGTGTCAGCGAAATTCGTTCCAAAACGTCGTTACTAGTGAGTAGTTTTTTGGCCAAAAACAATACTATCATCATGCCTCAGCCACCGTATTCACCAGACTTGGCCCCCTGCGACTTTTTCCTCTTCCCAAAATTGAAAAGGCCCATGAAAGGACGAAGATTTGCGACGATTGAGGAGATTAAGGCATCGCTGGAGGAGCTCAAGGCAATACCCAAAAGTGCATTTCAGAAGTGTTTTGACGACTGGAAAAAGCGCTGGCACAAGTGCATTGTATCAGAGAGGGATTATTTTGAAGGGGATAACATAATTTTGGATGAATAAATGAATATTTTTTTATAAAAATGAAAAGTCACCTTACTTTTTGATCACACCTCGTATGTTGTGCCGCTATTTCATGGCACGGTTCGCGGATTCACAGAGGACTTCGGGAGATGAGTTTCTCTCATTTTTGTCTTTCGAGGGTGTAGCCCACGCCGCCCCACCTTCGCTCAAAGGGGGGCCTTTCATCCGCTGGGAAGCTGCCTGGGTGGAAGTAATTTCGCCTAGACTATGTGACGCTCCTGCGCCAACGGGGCGCGGAGGTATTAGGAGATGTAGTATGTGTCCCACTTCTGCTTCTATGGGAGAAGCTTGACAGTTGATGTATTTCAACTAGGTCATAATGCCCCCCATCCCCCGGCGGATAAACTTTGGTCTCTGCACCGACTTACGCCCATCTCCCGAATTACTCCGGATCGGTGCGAGTCGGCGCGGGAACAGAAAACGGCGGGGAGCTGCCAGGCGCGTGATGCGATCTCGCTTCCGCGTTGTCCAGTAAGCACCGCCGTTTGCAGCTGACACGAGTCTGGAAGGAATGCGTGCTTAGACCCGCGCCACAAGGCCGGAGTAGGACACAGGAGAGTTTTTAGTTGGTAGGTGATTCCGGTTGGTCCCTTTGGGATGTGGCTTGGTAACTTTATTAGATATGTCCATCGGAGATCTTCCGAATTCAACATGCCCCGGGTCTGACCAGCCTGGGTATCTATGAAGATTTTCCCCTCTTACACAAAAAAAAATCCATGAAACTTCTCAAAATGAGTGGCTGGCTTGGCATGGAATGCCCCATATGTCTTTTTTGATTTTCATATTTTAATCAAAATGTCAACATTAACTCTCAGTACACAACCCAAAAAAATCCTTGTGTATACATAACGGATATTAACTAACTCGAAACATCTTTTACTTGTATATCGGGTTGTAATGCATCGATTTTAATTAATTTTTTAAAATTGATTTTAAATTTAAATACCAAAAAACAAAAGATATATATATATATATACCATATATTGAGGATTAAAATTGTTAAAGTGAAATATAATTTAAAAAATTTAAAATAGCTAATCCAAAATAGTTACAGCGAAAGTTATGTATTATAGATAGAAAAAATAGCGAAAATGGATAAATAATTATCAACCACTGTGCAATTTTAGATGCGTTTTGTATCTATAAATCAATATAGATGACAAAAACAGATTTATATCTGAACTATTCGTCAAATTTATCAAGAAAGTTTCTCTGTAACATTCAATCAAGTGACAGTGATTCATATTTGATTATGAGAGCTAAATTTTCTTGCATATATTGTTAAAATGTGTTACAAATTCTAAGCGTATGATACATAATTTTCTACCAGATACAAAAAACAGCGACAATTTTAGCTAAAGCAGCAAAGTGTTTTCTTGCATGACAGTAATTATTAGATTTCTATAACTTCAAAAAATATTATTATTAAACCAAAAAAAATTTGTTGAAAAACGCGAAATTTGTTTCATCTAACCAAATTATTTAGTCCAATACGTGCAATTAAATACGTGTACGATAATAATATAATTTGTTACTATTATAGACAAATCACTATTTAAACCAACAAAATTGAGATTTTAGTAAAAACGAACACAGTAACGCAACTATTTACTATATAATGCAATACTTTTTGATATATGATTTGATTGTTCATGTTAAATGTAAATGAATTTCTTTATCTCAGATAAATGTTGATTGCAAGCAACAAAACTACTTCGTATTCACACAAAAAATTATTTAAAACAACAATATACAGGGTGTCCTAGAACAAACCTTAATCCTTAAAATGACGTATTCCTGACATAATTCTAAGACAATTTTTCCTTTGCCGAAATTCTATTTATAGCTTAGTTTTTGAATTATAAATGAAAATAGCAAGCGAATTACGGGTGGCATACGGAAGGTAGGCAGGGGCGGTGCAACGCACCGTCCGACGCTCAATTCTGATCAACTGCTTGCTATACGTGAAACGTGTCACACGATGATACGCACACGTATTTCCTTCCTTTCTCCCCTCTTTCTCCCTCTTTTCAGGGATCCTCTCTGGAACGTCCTCCCTCGGTGGCTGCTGTGGCGTTTGGACCGCTTTTGCGGTCAACCGCATGATCGTGGTGCCGGTCTTGATGCTGAGAGGCGGATGCGGCGGATGGATTGACATCATCTCAATACTCAGGGTGTTTTTTCTGATATGCTTCGGGGCGTTTCTTCTTTTGAAGCACTTCGCTTGTGAACTGCCAGTCCCTTCTCCCTCATTTCGCTGAATTTTTTTGTTACTTCTCGCGGGGCATTTATATGATCTTATTGCCATGTGAGACGTAGTTAAAGTCTCACATCTCCGACGGACTTCTCGACCTTTTTGGTCACTACTTTGTCAGTGATCAAGCATTAGTTAAAGAATGTCGGCCCTCTCCTTTCTGTCAATGCACAATTTCATCGAGGTCTCTCTTGACTATCAATGCCTTCGTTTTCCTTCTTGACTAATCTCGACTCGCAATTACTCCTCTTATAATCCGAAGATATTACAATCCTTTATTAGCGGCCTGAATTGGACAGAGATAACATACTCGCTTGATCTTGATGTTAAAGTCAACACTTTAATTAAATACCTGCAAGAAGTGCGATATGATACTGCCATGATGTTTCGCAGACACCCGTTTCCTGTTAATTTTGACTTCTTCCGTGCTCTAAGGAATGAAGTAAGTCAAAGGTTGGATGAATCTAAGAATAACTATTTGTTACGTCCAACGGACTCCCACGACTCTTTTCTCTTTTTGTGGAGATCTGGAATTCGTTGAAATACTAAAATTTTTTTCCTTTTTTTTCTGCACTAAAAACTAAAACGAGGAATCCAGTATCTCCTTGTGAATGTCGCTCCGAGGTAGATTAAATTAATAATAAATATGTATTGAAAGCGTAAAACCGGCGCTAAGATTAACGGTCGCGGACGATTCTCGCAAATCCGTGATTACAAAATCCAAGAAGAGGCACGCGACGTTCAGGGATAGATTCTGGGTGATATCGTGGCGACAATGCATGCGCGCTTTCTTGACGTACGGGACGTGCGTTTTCCCATAAATTTTAAGATCGTAAAATTTTGGAGGACACTTTTCCACACTACAGACTCCTGTCAACATCCTTTCCTCCCCCAAGATTTTGACCAATCCGAGAGCATAGGAATTCTATTACTAGTTAACGAAACCTATTCCACCAATCCGAATCTGAGTAATCGGGGGTGATTAGTATAAAAATCGCGGTTCCGCGGTCCTTGGTATGATTTTTCTTTGAGTTCTGAGAGGCTACAGTTGTCGCGACCTTTGAAATAAGTTTTATCCGATTCTCGAAGTCCTTCTCTCCAGTAGATCGATTTCATCAGTGCATCGATTTAAGATCAATGGCATTCCTTGACTGACGAATCTGAGGCACAGCATCCTACGGTCGACGGCATCTTCTCCGACAGTTTCTTGGGCACCTTACATATCACCATCTCCGAGCAGTAAGTTTTTGATTTTACTACAATACGTGGGGTTCCTCCCCTTCTCGTGCGGTCCCCCTTTTTAAAAGATGAAATTTTTAGTGCGTCCATGCAGTTCTTCCGCCTCTCGTCGCCGTCACCTAGCGAGGACTAATAGATCGCGCCGACTCGTGTCTGCTATAATATCGCGATAACCTCGCGAGAGCAAACTTTATCAGTTCAACCATCGGTACGAGAACAGATTCCGGGCGTGCAGTCTCCTGTTGCAACTCGATCGCCACCGCTTGAAATATCCTACTCCCCTGTCTCCGATTTGTCGTCAGATTTCTTTGCTGAGGTCTTGTCCTGTCCAGTCCTCCCCTGTTCCACATCCGGTATCACCACTCCCGATTACTCAACTTCCGGTCTCGCATACCATCCCCTCAATGTCTAATATTCAAATCGATGCTTATTCTTCGTCTGGGCATTTTCTTCTCCTTTTTCACAACGCTCATAAGCTATTAGAATATATGTCCTTCTCTACCCCCTCCTATGATGACCGAGTAATAGTGAGCATCGCAGGATCCGTTAGCCTATTTTCGGTCCCTCATTCGGTCCCTTGATCCTTTTTCCTTTCAACTATATGACTCTACCCAATTTTAATTTTCCCCTCCTCCTTTCAAATTTTCCATATTCGAAATAACATCCTCATTGCGACTCTCTTGTCATACACACACACACACACACACACGCACGCACATACGCACGCACACACACACACACACACACACACACACACACACACACACACATACACACCCATAAATGCGTACATATACTTTAGACTAGAAAACCAAAAATTGTATTTTTTTTTTATTACTCAACAAAATTGTATCTATAATATGATTGGAAACGAGACGAGTTTTATATTAAAAAACTTGAAATACGAAGCGCCTTACCGAGTATAGCCGATGAAATTATCGGATTCATAAGTTTGTTACAGTTTTTAAGATTTGGGAAATTTTATTATTTGTTTCAGATTCATTGTGTGAATCCGATAATTTCATCGGCTCGCAATTTATTTCTAAAAATTAATTCAATTTAAATGAGTGTATATTATATAGTAATTCAACATCTTAACACTCGGACCGGTAAGGCGCTTCGTATTTCAAAATTAAATCTTTTTTTTTATTCAAAGGAATGTATCACAGAATATTGCTTTTTATTATACCATTATGAAATTAACTTCTCGGTTGTCATTTATTTAAATGTAACTTCTCCTTGTATTCGTTAGCTCTCCCGCGATTGCACTTCGCCCTCTCCCCGGTCACTTGGATTAAGTTCCATGGCTGAAAGTCAGGACATACGGCCGTACTGGCACAGCTGGCGTTAAAGCGCGCC